TTTGTTTTCAGTGATCATATCAGGAAGGTGGGCACCCCCTGATCTGATTTTTAGTTCTTTGATGGCTTTGACCTTTTTATGGGAGCATATAGATAGCCTCGGCTTTCTCTCATGGAGCAATTGGAAAGTTCAAACCACTGACCTTGCAGGTAACAGCTCAATAGGGCTCTTCTAATAAGGGGTAAGGAGAAGAAAATGCAGCTGAACGAGTTGAGTCTGATAGCTTTGCTCATCTGGAGGGCTTTCAGGGGAAAGCTGGTAGTTTGAGAAGTGGCTTGAGGTTTGGAACAGCAGCCAACGGGATGGAAAAACTCCCAAACTCAATGCCATCAAGTCGATTCCGCTTCAAAACTGCCTTCTTGCGTTTCAGAGACTCACTGTTTACAGGCGTGGAAAGGAAAGCCTCATCTTTCTCCCAAGGTCGTTCGAACTAAGCCTAACGCAGACGCACTGTGCAACCACTAGAGTAACATGAGCAATCAGAGACGTGTTAAAATCATTGCCAAGCGGTTTCACACGGAGCAGAGGGCTGCTGTCTCTGCAGAGGGGTTCGCCCCAAGCCAAGTCTGCCACACACCTATGAAGGGCCTTCAAAAAGTCCACGGAAAAGACATCTTTGAATTCCCTTTTCCCACGCACTTTCTGGAGCCCCCTCTGATTTTTTACTCGCCAGGGGCTCTGGTGTCATTGTGGTTGTAGTCCTCTAGGCTGCTAACCTCAAGGTCACTTTGGGAACCACCAGCCCCTGGTTGCACAGAGCTACGAGCCACAGGGGCAGTTGTACCCTGTCCTAGAAGGTCGCTATGCGTCAGAATTGACTTGATGGCAGTGAGGTTTTGTTTCAGAGACTTTACATCTTTACAGGAGTAGAGTCTTAGCTTTCCCTCCCAGAGCAGCCAACAGCTGAGCCTGTGGGGAGCAGCTGAGTGGGTAATCCACTCCTCCACCATGGCAGTGAGTCTTTCCATCTGCTCCCGGAAAGCGCTCATCCCCTCACCTGTTTTGCCCACGCGCTCAGATATCAGTTTCTGGGACTTCTGTTTCATTACTTCGTAAGTCTATTTCCTTTTGTTTCTTTTACCAGCTTGTTGCTTTACATTATCAACCTGCATACATTCATCTTGCTCTTACCTTGTTATATCGTGTAACTCGTATCTTAGAAAATGGGTTCAAAAAATACATGTTTCACAAATGTTCAGTGAAAGGAATGAATGTGGGCTCCCACAAACGAAGGGAACCCTGGACTCGGTGATCTCAAGTCGTCCCTGGAACACACTTGGGTGACGCTGTCACAGCTCAGCTGGGCACAGCCGGAACACACACAAAAAGTGCCATTGCTTCCAGAAGCGCTTAATTCAGAAGCGGCGATTAACTACATTGGGAGGAGACGCGGAGTCAGCGCGTGCCCACTGCTGGGAAGAGGCGGGCGGCTGTTTTCCGTACAGCAGCATGGCGGCACTGGCCGGCACAAGTCAGCTGCCTTTCCGTGCAGCATGGCGGCCGCCTGAGGGAGCCCGGCTGTGCCGTTACGCCCGGGGGAAGAGGGCGCCGTAAAGCAGGCGCCGCTTCCTCTTCTCCCGCCTCCCGCCCGCTGTCGTAAAAGGGTGAATGGAGAGCGAGTTGTGGGGGGGAACGAGGGAAGACCGGGGCCGCAGCCGAGTGAGAGTGGCGCAGCAAGTGGCTGCAGGTGGTGGCGGGGAGTGGGGAGTGAGGTAGCCCAGCGGTCCCGGGCGGGGGCTAAGAGAGGGAGAAGGCGGACTAAAGCGGCAGTCTGGCGTAGGGTGCCGGGGGCCTGGAGCCCCCACCCAGGGAGATGGACCTCAACCGGATCATCCAGGCGCTGAAAGGTACTATCGACCCGAAGCTGCGAATTGCGGCAGAGAAGGAGCTCAACCAGGTGAGCGGCGGGCCTCGGCGCGCCCCGGCCGCGG